TGGTTGAAAACATGATACTAGTATAAATGAACTATGAAGGTGAGGGTAGGTTCCCAGGTGCGTATCAGACCTGGGTGCTCAGGTTTCAAATATGTATATGCATCACTTCTAAGACTTCTCCATCTACCTTCCACAGCAGATAGCTTCAAATGCTTTCCACCATTGCAGCATGTGAGTGGGCTTTATGTCCCTTTGTCTACTGACCTCCCTATTGAGAATCAAAGGTTGTGGCTGCTTCAAGCAACCTCTTAGGATCGACTGCTTTTGAACGAAGGTGCAAATCTGAACCAGTCACCCCTGCCTGTGGGGCACAGTATTTTTAACAGAGGAGTCCCTTGGGAGACTCTGCTAGCCAGCCTTATTCTGCTGCAGCATGACTTGGAGATGGCATTTCAAATAGTCGACCATTTTTGTTAAGACCCCTGTTTTAAAAAGCATCTGGGCTCTGCTTGGGGAGGGACTGGGTTTACCTGCAAGCTGATTCAGCAGTGTAATTTAAAAAAAATTACTTGTGCTAAATGATTTATCCCACCCTCACCATAGCCTGCACCTAGGTGTTGAGTCAGAAAACACAAGAGGACGTTATGAATCAAAAAATAAGTCTTTACCGGTAATTAGCTGCACACGAAAAGGAAAACGTGGTGGGCAAGCAGCAATTAATAGTTGCTTTACTGAAGGGTTATACACCATAATCAAAGGCCCGTGGTAAAACGTCCCTTTAGCCTGCGGTTCTTTTATAACTTTTAATCCAAACAAAAATAATTCTCTACCAAAAGAGGAGTTGAACCGTACACTATACGGAAATGCCGGCATTAGACATCACACTCCTGATCTACCATGCACGCAGCGGCCCTTGTGTCCTCGCCAAGTGCAAGAAAAGGAAATCAAAATCCGACAACCGGAATAGAAAACTCGATGAATGCAGCAACTAGGTTTTGTAGGCAACCGTACGTTTAGGGCCCTGCCAGGCCCACTATGAAACGTAGGACTATGCAGCAAGGATGGACCGAAGAGTCCCCGTGGGTGCTTTGGACTCCAGTCTCTAGGGCTGTGGGGAGCGGTCGTGACTGGTTCTTTCAAAACCACAGAGGAAGGAGGAGAGGGGAAAAATAAAAAAATGTGAAATTAAATCAATTGCCTTGGACTGTGGTGGTGTTTGTTTGGCAGGGTCCCCGTGCTCTGGAACCAGACGGGCCTGTGCAAAGTGGGGCAAGGAGAGAGTCGCGGTTTTGCAGGGTGTAACGCAAGTCCCTCGTGATGCTGTTTGATGGCAGCTTCTGCACTACGCTGGTCAGTTCCCCCTCGCAGCCGGGTTTGTGCTGCGGCCACCTCTGGGTAGCGCTAGGAGGCCGGAGCAAGGCTGCTGCTGGAAAGACCAAAGCCAGACCCTGACATTCTGTACCTCTTTTTTGGCAGGGAAGGAGACCAAACAAGGTTGTGTAAGTCCTACAGTAAAGGGAGGGTGGGGAGATGGTGGTGCGGTGACGCACCTATTCCCTTAGTCTCCCCAGATCCCTCTGACGATGCACCTTGAGCTGGCTCCCATGGGTCTGGCGTTCAGAAGTCCAACGAGCATCGCAGCTGAAGGCCGAGCACGCTGAGGAGGAGTGCGGGGAGGCTGAGGTATGTGCTGGAGGCCGAATCGCAGTCCTGGCTCTCGGAGTTGCACTTGGACTGCTCGCACAGGACGCCCTTGTAGCCGGCCGGGCAGATGCACCGCTGGTTCTGGTGGCACGTGCCGCCGTTTTGGCAAATCAGGAGCTCCTCATCACAGACATTGGCTGCCAGGCAAGGAGGGGGAAGGAGAGGAAAAAAACCAACAGTGTGGGGAGTCATTGTATGCTACAGGCAGCCCTGGAGCCCCATATCCCGTGCAACAGCAAGCGTCTTGTTGCCTTCCCTTGATTCAAAGGAAGTTGCATGCCGAACCACTGGGCTGATGCACTGTCCAAGGTGAGGCAGGGAGCTTAAATGTGTGACTAGGCATGTTCTAGCCCCTTCTTAGTCTGTGTTTCCTGCCCCCACCTGCTAACCCCGTGGCTTTGGCCCTACAGTGCCAGGGCCCACACAAGGCTCCAGGTCCATAGGAGCAAGAAGGAGCTGCCCACTGCCCTTAAATGCAACATCAGCACTTTCTGGGACTTGGCTTTGTAGCCAGTCCCTGCTGGGGGTCAGTGATTCTATAACTAGGGGCCTAGGTCACCTTCTGGCATCAAACGATAGAAAGTGCTCTCTGCTCTCTACCTCTCTGGTGGACACGGCTTCTCAAACCAGTCCTGCATCTAGCAGATGACTGGGCCCTTGCTTCCCAGTCAGGTAGCATTTGGGGGACAGCCATGGTTGCCAACAGCCCTGGGGTACTTACGAAAACAACCCTGTCTCCAGTAGTAATCGGGGAGGCAGTCGTCGCACTTGGGCCCCGTGGCTCCTTCTTTGCATTCACAGTAGCCGGTCTCGTTGCAGCGGTCATGCACTGAGCCAATCTGATTGCAGTTGCATTCTGTCCAAAGACACAGCCATTAGTGACCCACTCGGGGAGCATGCTGCCGCTGGGGTGCTCTCCTCGCTAGGCTGTCTAAGAGCTTTGCATCTGGGGCTGGTGCCAGCGGCATAAGCTGCCCCTTCCCTCCATGGCTTCCAGAATCCAAGGACAAAGTTGACTTGTGGAGGTGTCTCATCCTTGCTAACACCATGTTGGGGCTGGGCACTGCCCTGCCAGCCAAGGCGTGATACTCCAGAGACTAGGTCAGCCACTGCTCTTGAGGGGTGCAGTCAGGCTCTGCAACCCAAGGACCCAAGAAACAATTTGACCCAGGGCAAGCTCTTTCTCCAGCCCCCATGCTGTTGTGTGGACTTTGACCCATGCTCAGCATTTAAAGTGGCGGCTGAGGGGTTGACTCCCAGAACCCTGCGGGGCTAGCCCATGCGTCTGCCTCGGACGCAACTGGTTGCTCAGAGCCAGATGTGGGGGGTCAAAGCTGCAGGTACCACCAAGGGGATGCTTGTCCTACAGAGCCACGAGGTGGAGTGCCAGCTACTTGGAAGGGCCTAGCCTGCTGCAGGACTGCTGGCCATAGCAGCTGCCTCGACTTTTTCCGAGACTGAGGTTGCAGAGGTTGGCTGAGCAGCTCCAATGCAGCACAACGGCTTTGCTGGCACAGCTCTGAGCGCTGCGAGGAGGCATTTCCCTCTAATCCTTTTGAATCTCTTAGGAGGCGACAGGCTGGGCGACAGCTAGGGTAGAATAGGAAGTCAGTTTAGTGCTGACATAGTACTGCCAGCCCTGCTCCAGGTAAGTGTCTGGGCTGCTTGTGATGTTGCAGCTTGGCCTTCCTCCTCCTCAGAGAGGGTGAGAGGGCAGCGAGGGACCGGAGTCTGCCAGCAGCTCCACAGTGAGGTGACTGGGGTTATGGCAGTGTAAGATGAGTGCAGAAATGGGCCCCTCAGCCAGGACTGCAGGGCAGTTATGAAAGGAAGAAAAAAACTCTGGAGAGAGAGGCAGAAGGCCTGGCGCCAGTCTGCCTCTTGATTAATTCCTAGCAGTCTTCCCAATTTCTGGCCAGAAGCCTCCCACCTGCGAGCAAGCATAAATCCCATACAGTACACTCTTTAATTGGCACTGGTGGAACCGGGGTGGGATGGGAGGCAGGCCGACAGGGAGTCCATCTGAGCTGGAAGAAAAGGTTTTGCCCTGTCAGTCAGCAGCTCAGCCTCGCTCAGAGCTGGAGAGCACAGCTGTTCTCTCCTTCCCCAGGTGGCAATAGCCCTGCAGGTAGTCCAGAGCGATGACATGAGGCTGGCTAATGAATGAGGACAAGAGGGACTTCACAGCACAGTGCTCCAGTGTTGCAGCCCGTGACCCTGCCCAGCGGTAACCCAGCAAGAGCTGAGAGGCTGGAGACTCGATGGACGAAGGGAAGCACCATAGGATGCCGGGTCTGTCAGCAACTAGTTCAGATCCAGGCACCCCTGCTAAGGCTGTGTGAGCTTCCTACAATCATGATGGCCCATCCAGGGGGCACTTAGAGTCAACATGGACATTTCTCCACAAGAAGCAGGAGGTGGGTGGCAAAGATCAGTTCACATAGACTACCCGATACCTTTCAGTAAGTAAGGACTGTGGCTCACCATAACTTAGGTAGCTCTGAAGCAGCCACTCAGTGAAACTTCTGGGAGGGGGGTCCCTGTTCCCCTTCGGGGTCGAGCGGGCCCGCTACTCACCTATGCAGACATTCTCATCGTCGAGCTCCGCGGAGCCGTTACGGTAAAAGCCGAGGCGGCAGTGCTGGCAATGCTGCCCCCGGGTGTTGTGTTTGCAGCTGACGCAGGTCACCACATTCAGGAAGTCTATGTAGCTGCAGCGGTTGGAGTGGCCGTAGCACTCGCAGTCTGGGAAGGGAAGGGAAGAGAGGAGAAGTTGACATTTCCTTGCTAGGTCACCCCTGCCATGCACAGCCACTCCCATGGCACTGGCCAGGCTCCACCTGTGGCACCAGTGCAGAGAAATGACTCCAGAAGACGTGGCAGTTTCTTCTATTTGACACAATGCAGTGGTCTTTAAAAATATGGAGACAGCTACCTGAGTCTGCTGCTCCTCTGTACTGCCATGTGGAAGGAGAGGGGTTGGGAAGTAACCCCTTGGCATTCACTCATGCAGGCAGGTGAGAATGTGATGCAGGATGTCTTGTGCGGGCGAGAGGGCGCACAGCAAATTCAGAGGCTACCTGTTCTCCCGAGCTTGTGAGGGGTTTAAGGAGGCTGAGAGCAAAGCTTTCCAAACTGTGGTCTGCAAGGAAGTGGGACAGTGGGCCAGGGCCAACTTTCCTCTGTGGGTACTTGGGGAACCCAACTCCCGCTCCATGACAAGGCCCCTTTAAGGCAACAAGTATTCAAGGGAGCAGCTCACTCCCTGTGTAATGTGGCCAGGTGCTAATTAAGTAGCTGCGCCTCTGTGGGATAAAACCTAACTGCTGGGCTGTGCCCTAGAGAGTGATGGGGTCCAGGGTGTGAGGAGCATGGTTTCAGGTGAACGCTTTCTAGAGCATTGGCAATTGCTCACAGCAAGGGCCTAGGGCTTGAGGGGAGATTTTGAACAGGAGCTAGAGCCGAGGTAGAGGTGGGCTGGAGGAAACAGCTTGAACCAGGACCCTGTCCCATAGCAGAGGATGTTGCAGTCCCTGAATTGCATGAAGCAGCTGGGAGTCCAGGGACCTGCGCGGGAGGCCTGTGGAGAAGACCCCCAGGGAGTCCAAGACCTGGTGGACTGAGCAAGGCCTGGAGGCCCTGAAGCAAGGGTGAATTGGAGCTGAAGCTGCTTGGTGCCATAAGTAAGTCCCTTCCACTTCTCTCTGTACCTTGCCTGCCTTCTTATGAATGCCTTCACCCATATGGGAGGCCTCGCTCCCTCCTCCGCGCCCCAGGCTTTGGCCAGAAGCCTTGTCCTGCTATAACTTGATGTTCCCTACCCTTCCCCCCTGGCTCCCCAACCAGCCTCCCTTCTCTCATTTTTTTTTCCCCATCTAATTCAAAACTTTTGTGTTTGAGAGTCTGCAAACCCTCAATCCCTGAAGCAGGGGCCGGTGCCATTCCCACCCCTCTGCAGGGAAGGGTGTGAGAGTTGACTGGAGTTAAGGGGCTGAGTAACCTAATGGGGGAAGCAGCTCTTTTAAAAGGATCCTTCCAAAATTGGGGGGGGCAACCTCTGGCTTTGTACCCTGGCTTTAGTTTCCAGAGGCAGGAGTTTCCATGTCTCTTGTGCAGGTTTTCTGTTTGACACAATGGGATAAGATCACTGAAATCTTAACTTCAGGGAGACATAGAAGCCTGCTGGGATGATGGGCCCAGGGGACAGGACTGGTAGAGGTGGTCTGCAGGGAGATGGGCTTGAATTTCATGCTGCTGCTCGCCCACGTGGCTTCAAAGTTGCTACGATGCTCTCGGTACTCTGTCCCCTGTGGCAAGGGGGAGCACAAGGAAGCTGAAGGTAGTAGGGAGACTAGGAGCCAGGCCCCAGCTACTGCCTCTAAACCCAGGTCTGAGCTTTCCCAGTGGTTGGAAGGATCCAGACCCATCCTGTCTTGCGTGCTGATGTGACAACAGGTGGTGGGAAGATGGCATGCAGGGGGAGTGGGCTGACATGCACAGGTGGCTGGTTAGATTTTGCTTCTATGAAATAAAGTCCTGATGAGATGGAGCGTGGCGGGGCCTTTCCCCACAGTTCAAGCTGCTTTGGAAGGAATCAAAAACCTAGATCTTCTGTGGAAAAATCATTCCTAGCTCAGTTCATGTTGACAACCTCCCAGCAGCAGCAGCTCTGGCTGCCATAGGCCATGCCAACATCGCTTTATCACGAAGACCCAATTTTAATAACCTTTTAATACAGAATTGCATCAGATGCACCACCCCCCGCCCCTGTCTTTTAGTCCGCCGAGATCTTGGCGACCCAGACAGATTAATCATTCTGACCAAGAAGACCTTTTCAAAGCTCTCAGCATCTCGGTTTCCAGCCCGTTCCCACCCCCCGCCCACGTCGCCCTCTTACCTTTAAATGTCCGTACAGGCGTCATGGGGTCAGAGTCTGATTTGAGCCCGGTGACTTTGGAGCTCTTTGAGGGCACTTAGAAGAAATTGAAGACATGCTTTTTCTCATCGCTTAACACAGCTTTGCTTCCTACACTATGGGAGAGCGGCTCTTGTGTTAGAACAATAACAGCCCAAGCCCAGAACATCACTTTGGCATTGCTGAAATCTATTTCTGCACAAGGCAGCTGGTGGCTTTCTACATTTCTCCTCTGTGTGTTTCTCTCTTCCCCCCCACCCCTGCTCTAGAACTTGGGGCATGAAAAATTCAGTGCATCAATATATGTTGATCTGCAGGGAGATGACTGACAAAGGAGAGGAGTTATTCACAGATGTGTCCTAGCTCTACCCTTGGTAAGGGAATTAATTGTGTTGGACCATCCAGGTGTAACCATTTGCAAGCATGCACAACTTTTATCTTGGACTCTTGGTGATGGCAGTTATGCCAAATGGGGTAGGAAATGCAGGCAGCAAGTACCACAAGATCTTTTGCTTGGTACCAGGCAGACTCCCCCTGATATGCCCTGTATTGTAGACTAACTCCCCACACCAACCAGCTCCTACAGTGCTACAGTGGGCAGTACCTGGCTTCTTGGCATGCTTCTTGCCAGCAGAGTGTGCTGTCGGCCCTGGTTTGCTCTTCGGAGCTGCTGCACGTGAGACAACAAAATACAGCTGAGCACTATGGAGGAGAGCAGATTCCCAGCCCCAGTGGAGCTTGGCAGGCTGGCACATTCATCAGGCTAAGTGGCTGCTCCTGACTGTCAAGGAACTTACTCGGGAGGCTATCCTGCCCAAATGAAGCCTTTGCTGCTGACACGCGTAACAGCAGCCTCACACGCTGCAGTGAATTATCACAGCAATTGCATTAGGGTCATTTCCTTCCACTCAGGCTTGATGTCTTTCAGTTTCCGGGATTTTTATTTTATTTATGTGTGTATAGGATATATATATTTTTTTAACCCAAGTAGGGTTGAGATGTAGCTGCCCAGGTGTCTTGTTGCCTTGGGTGCAGAGAGAGGGTAACACAGACTCTTGTCATAATGCTTTGTGCTGCCGTATTAAGTCACCTGCACACAAGGCACTGATGGGGAGCACGGCTGTCCCTCCCGAGGAGGAACTTTAATGCCTAAATGCAGCTGAAATGACTTTCCCCTGAGGATGCCATCATCTTTAACAGGGCTTAAGCGCCACTGGTCCCCTGTGCTGTGGGAGAAGAGGATTCATCCTCCTTTCCCAGACACAGAGACACACACAGTGCTACAGTGAGGAGCAGAAGACCAGAATCCTGATGCTCGCTCGCTCCCTGCTAACTCATACGAACTAATTGGTCACACTCCTACTACTAACTAAATACCTATAAGCTAGTTCCCAAAAAGCAAACCTTTAAATACCATTTTCTAAGCCGACACCTGTGACTGGAAGACTCTGAGCTGTGCTGAGCCCAGGGCTGTCCCCTGCTGCTGCTGACCACAGGTCGTGCCAGAAGGCTACTCGTTGCTAACCTGACCCAGACCAGCTCCTGTGCCGAACAACATGGCTTTCAAAGCTCTGAAGGCAAACTTCTCCCCCGGCCAAAGCCCAAGTGTGGGTTGCAGCCTCAGCCAGGCTCTCTGCGCAGCGGTGAATTTTGCCTTTGATCTCTGCTTTTGGAGGAAGCAGTCAATCAAAGGACATGTAGGGCAGGGCTCCCCACAAGATAATGCTTCCAACACGCTCCAAATGAACTACACTTTTTTAAAATGTTTCTTGAAAGGCCAACAAGGAGATAAGATGGGCCTCTTCTTTCAGTAAACAGTCCAGCCTCTCTCGAGTGAAAAAACCCTCTCCAGCAAAAAGCATTGAAGCATCGCACAAGTTGTGTTTCTGTTTTTCACTGCAGCTGGCAGATCTTGTAGCTGGCTTTTATCTTAGGATCTCCAAGGTCTTCCCTCCTTGGAGGTACTGGACAGATAAAGCCTGTTACCAGGGGAAACTGAGGCATGCAATAATTCAGCGGCTTGTCAAAAGACTACACTCTGCATCAGCTGTGTAACTGGGAGGCTGGATCCAGTTTCTTTCCTCTCCCCAAATGACCTTTTACTCTGGTGTGAGTCTTCAGTCTCTCACTGAGTTAGTTTGAGGTCAATCTCAGCTGTAAAGTATCCCAGAACATGAAATCGCCAGCAAGGGGAGGACAGGGAGTGATATTTTTATAACCGCTCCCCCTCCAGTTGACTGAGTTGACCGCTGCCTCCCCATCCCAGGCTGTTAGCTATACGTGCTTCTCTCCACCTCGGCACACCTTGTCCCCAAGGAAAGCTCTGCCTGCCAGCAGACATACTTGTTTCCAGAGGGGATGGGTTTTGCTGTGTCCTGGTAAAGCAGCCTCTTGCTAAAGCTGCTTTTCACCCCATGGCAAGCTGACGTCTTGCAGCTCTTTGGGGGCCTTTTCCCAGCAGTCCCAGGGGTGCATCGACTTGGCGTCTCCAAGCAGGGAAGTGGGGCACACGCGCCTTCCAGGGCCTCTGTTT